AAAGAAAGCAGGGTAATCAAAGAAGGAAATACAGATGTTGGAAAAGGTATCAAAATTGATCAGTTCATGATACACATATGTATCAATGACCTAAATGAAACTAGGCCTTAAGTATTGCAAACACATATCAATTTAAAATTCCCAAATGAATGAGGTCCTTTGGGAAAAAGAAAGCTTCCTCATTTAGACAGTAGTTTCTAGGGGGTTTAAGTTTTCATTCTCAAAATTTCTTAGCATTAAGCCAGCACTTGGCCCAGTAAATTATTGATATGAAGACTTTTTTATTATGATTGATATTTTTGTTCTTTTTTTTTTTCTTTAAAGAAATGAAGAGGTAGTGAAATTCTATCGAAACAAAGCTTGGAATCAACACAGAAACATATTCCTTTGGACTTTAGAGGAGAATGTGCAGGTGCAACAGGCTGCTCTAAAGCCACCTGAAAACCTTGCTTGTAGAAAACCCGTGATTGGGCATTCATCATTAAGTGTGTCCATTTTACCTCCCACTGGACTGAAGCCACGTGAGTATGTGGGATTTGATCAGAAGCTGTGCAATTTTAAGGAACATGGAAAAAACTGCAGTGATTTACAATCCTTTGAGAAGCATGCAAGAACAAAGGCAGGAGAAAAATCCGATCAGTATGAGCAATGTGAGAAAATCTACTGCGAACTTAAGGAAAGAACTCCCCCTGGAGTGGAGACCTTCGTATGCAAGAAAAGAGTGAAAGCTTCCAGCACTCCCAGTGATATTAAAACCCATGAAAGTATTCACAGTGGGAAGAAAACCTATATATGTAACCAATGTGGAAAAGTATTTGCTGTTAAGTCTACATTTTATAAACATAAACAAACCCACACAGGTAAGAAAGCCTATGTATATAAGCAATGTGGGAAAGCATTCACCACACTGAGTAATTGTAAAAATCATGAAGAAAGACACAATGGGGAGAAACCTTATGAATGTAAACATTGTGGGAAAGGATTCACTACACGGCAGTACTGCAAAGTCCATGAAAGAATTCACAGCGGTGAAAAACCATATATATGTGAGCATTGTGGAAAAGGATTTGCTCATAGGTCTGCATTTCGTGTACATAAAAGAACCCACACAGGTGAGAAAGCCTATATATGTACACAATGTGGAAAAGCATTCACTACACTGAGTAGTTGTAAAATACACGAAAGAAATCACAACGGGCATAAACCATATGAATGTGAGAAATGTGGAAAAGCATTCACTGCATCTAGTTATTATAAAAAGCATGAAAGAATACATAATGGGGAGAAACCCTATGAATGTAAGAATTGTGGGAAAGCATTCCCTACCCGTAATAATTGTAAAGTACATGAAAGAATTCACACTGGGGAGAAACCCTATCTATGTGATCAATGTGGGACAGCATTTAGCCAGCCAAGTAGCCTTAAAATCCATGAAAGAATTCACACCAAGGAGAAACCTTATATGCCTAAGCAGTGTGGGAAAGGATTCACTACACAACATCATTGTCAAATAGGTGAAATAGCTCATGCTGAGGAGAAACCCTATGTGTTCAGGCAATGAGGGAAGGGATTCACTACACACAGATGTTATCAAAGATGTGAAGGAACGCATTGGGCAGAAACCTTTTGTGTGCAGTGTGGGAAGGGGTTCTCTACACATAAATATTGTCATAGACATGAACTCATGCAGATTGGTAACCCTTTGTAAGTAAATTATGTGGAAAATGTTTCATAGTGAATCCTCATGTATAGATCTCATTGATTTGTAACTATAAATATAAACATTGTGGGGAAGTTACTCAATGAGCAGCTTGTACCAACTACATGAAAGAAGTTACACTGAGGAGAAACCCTGTATATTGAAGCCTATTTTGAAAATCCTGGGAAAATTTCTCATATAGTAGAGACCTGGATAATTTTAATGAAAATTTTGATATCAACATTTCTTCATAAATTTTCCAAAAAATATACTCCCAGATGGAGATATCCTACAGTATATTCCTTCTGGGCTCTTTAGTAAATTGATTATAAATATCTGAATTATGTACCTGTAGTCTTCAGTATAAAAACATTGGCATATTTTTGTGGAAGCCATTGTCCTTAAATTTAATATATACTATCTTCTACTTAAACAAGGTGATTGAAATACATTTCTCACTTCAAAAAGGGTACTATTTATGTAGTTTTAATGTTTACTATGCAGAGATATAGGCTACTACACTTGATCTTAGCCAAAAGGCCGAGAAGCAATGGTATAGGCTACTAAAAAGCAACTTTTATTCACTGTTTTTTAGTTGATAGGATTTCCACTAGATTTTAATTTTTTTGGTGTACATACTTCATATTCTGTGAGAAAAAAAGATATTTTTTAAAATTTTCTGTTACATATGTATCCCTATTTAGAGACATGTGAACACATTTTTGAAAAGTTCATTTGTTTTCATAACTTGTAGATTACCAAATATTTCATTTTATCTAACAAGATACATATATAAAAACAATTCTATGAAGTGCATGTATTCACCAAGTAGTCTTTTATGTTATAGTCAATATTATGAATTATGTAAACTTACCATCACCATTTTACTTTTCATACTTTTTTTTTCTCTTTTTGAGAAGATCTTGTTACACAGTTCAGGCTGGCTTTGAGCTCACTTGGTAGGCCAGGCCAGTGTCGAACTTACAGCAGTACTCCTGCCTCAGCCTCCCGAGTGCTGGAATTACAAGCATATGCCACCACACCTGGCATTTTCATGCTTATATTGACAAGACTTGCAATTCTGAATTAATTTTACTAACATTTGGACGAAAAAATGAACCATACAGCTTTCAGTCTTTGATTGTGAGAGATCAGAGGGACCATGGCTTGTGTATAAAAGTATATTATGAATTATAGTAATGTATAAGTCAGTACCTCCTAGAGAAAGAGATTTAATGTGAGATTTACAAATATGTAAGAATTTACAAGATATACTTGCAATGGCTGATGAAAAAGTCAAATGTGGAAATATGAAAAAGTTTTGTCTGTAAACTGAATTTCCAAAAATCCAATTGAAGGCCTCGAGTCCACTGTAGTGTCCCAGGCACATTTAACAGTAGACCAAAGTGTCTGGGCAGGAAGACTGAATTGTCTGAACTGAAAAGTCCATGCTGTAAGCCAGAAGATGACTTTCAAGATGATGGTGAGTAATGAACCTCCTCCCTAGAAAGAGAACAAAGCCTTTCTTCTTTCTTTATTATAACATTCTGGTAACAATCCTCCCCATGGTTCATTTCCCACACTTAGAACTTTGTGAGGAAAATTTAGTTGGACATGTAGTCATCAAGTTGACACAATCAGTTAACTATCATAGTCCACCCCTTGACAACCAAACATATTTCAATAAACCATATTTTCCAGGTAGAAAGGGGAGCTCATAAATATGCCTAACATGTTATAACTGTCCTGTATTCAAATGGAAATACACTAATTCCCTCCCCAGTAGAGAAGGGAAGTTTTCTATGGGTGATGCTTACTCAAACATTTTTTATCGACCATCCTGACATAGGGTAAGTAAGATTTACACGTGTTCGGGAGCATGCAGGGTGGTGTGGGAGTAGACTGAGGAAGATTTAAACAATATTAATTCTATTAATATTATACTACAATGGAAGCATATTAGGAAAAACCATTAAATTACAATCCTTATTTCTGTAGCTAATCACAGAGCTATATCTTGCATTGGGAACTAAGTTGTACTACCCATTCTGTATTTCCTTGGCATTGAAGTACCTCATCTGGTCTTAGTTTTTTACTTGATATTATGACCCATAATTTTATCACTGAAATTTCTGGACCATTGGACATTCTGCCAGGATAGGATTGTTATAGATTCCCCTTAACTTTAATAAGAGGGCATAGTATATTAGCAGGCACCCCAAAGCATCTCCTGCATGCAAATTTATTTTCTCTTTCCTTCATTGTGGAGTAACAGATTAATTCACCAGTGACAGTTTAAGCCAATCACTCCTCTCTTCACTGTAATGCCCTTAGCCTGTTTTTCTCAGAGTCTTAAGAGGACCAAAATGACCAGAGGAAGTCTTCACTTCCAGCTCAATGATATCATGGTTGTGCTTCCTGGTACAAGTTTTTGCCCCTCTGAAACTAAGACTTTTCTAAGCCAGTAGGTCATGAGAACAGGGTTGGGGCCAGAGATATAGCTCAGCAGCAAAGCACTTGCCTGACAAGTGCAAGGACATGAGTTCAATTCCTGCTATGAAAAAAAAAAAAAAAAAGAAAACAGGGTGCAAAAATTTTGATAGTCAATAACTACAGGTAATGGGAAGGGTAAAACTCTTCTCCCAACTCATTCTTCGACCACAAATTGCAGGACCTTAAATCCTGGCTATTGGACACAGGGCACAATGTATTAGATGTTGACAGAAAATATACACAGCCTATTGAAGAACTTTGCACTATCATGCAAGCTATTGCACCTAATTTGAGCTCCTTGTGTCTTGAGAAGACCATTCCACTTTTAAATCAAGCCATCTGCTTCTTGATAGTGAGGAACATGGTAAACCCAGTGAATTCCATGAGCAAGAGCCATTGTCTCACTTCTTTGGACATCAAGTGTATTGGTGTGAGATCCAATGTGTAGCATTCCATGAGCATTGATAAGGCATTATGTGTATCCATGGATCAGAGTTTTTGGCAGAAGCATTGCATGCAGGAAAGGCAAATCCATGTTCAGAATAAGTTGCTATGCCAGTAAGGACAAAGCACACTCCTTTCCATGATGGAAGCTCTCCAATATACTCCATAGGCCAAGAGGTCAAGGGCTGAGCAACCTAGCAAATGGTGCCGTATTTAGGAATCAGTGTTTGTCTCTGCTGCTGGCCTATTTGACATTCAATAGTGGTTAGATAAGGCTTTGTGAGTGGGAGTCCATGTTGCAGAGCATGCATGTCCTCCATCCCTGCAAATATGGCCACTCTGCCCATGAGCCCATTGTTCAATGACTGGGAGGGTTTAAGAGAGAAGTTGACTACTATCTACCAAATGGGTCATCTTATCCTCTTAATAGTTAATGTCCTTTATTGCTGAGGTCACTTTTGGGTGAGGGTTTATATAGGATTTATATTTCTTATATTTCAAATATTTCTTATATTCTTTGCCCATTAAATAGATCTACCCACATACCTAATCTCATAACATCATTGTGAAGAATTTTTCTGTTATGTTTCTTCAAGTTCCTGAACACAAAACCAGAGCATGGGCTACAATCCAGGAGTCAGTATACAGGTACATATCCTGTGCATTTTTCCTCCCAGGCAAAATATGCTGATGCCTTCACCAAATGCCTTCACCAGATTTCTATCCATTGTGAATATTTCTGCTCACCACTGTCCATCAGGGATGTCCTGGAAAGCCTTTGGAATACTGAAGCTGCCAAGTTGCTGGTGGATGAGTGAGTGTCCTACTGCATGCCTGTAATCCCAGCACTTGAGAGGCTGAAGCAGGAGGATCGTTGCAAGTTCGAGACCTGCCTGGGGTACAAAGGGAGCGCAAGGCCAGCTTAAACTGCATAGCAAGATCCTGTCTCAAAAAGACAAAGGCAAACCAAAAAAATTGCATGTGGTGCTAGCATAATATGCAGAACCATCAGAAAATGGTGGCTCTTTTTTTCCTCACAGCTCACCTTATGATCCAACCCATGATGCCATGGGTGCATGTTGGGAAACAGAAGGTGATTTTGCAAGAGTAAAAGCCATGGGCATTTGAGGAAATTCTTCAGGTAACTTACTTCTGACCTCTTGACCTGCTTTCACTGATCACGTATATCTCATTTCATTTAATGATAGTTGCAGTGCACATTCAGAGTAGGACCCGGTGGATCACATAATAGCTAACTCATGAATGGCAGCTCAGGCCCCAGGGTAACCTACTGTCTCATGGTCAAGCATTTAGTTTCCATGAAGGCCTCGTAACAGGCCAAAACTATTGATCAAAGGGAGAGTTATTTTTTTTATTGGAAGAATTTTAAAAGAAATATTCATAGGAGAACGGAGAGTAATTGTTTACAGATGATGGCAGGGTCTTGCTAAAAAATTCTAAACATTTTTCAGATTTTCCCAAAGAGTGCCTGCCGCATACTAGAAACAACATTCTTACCAGCCACTGACACTAGAAATACAATTGCATCTGCTGGATAATATAACCGCATTGGCAGAACAACCTGCACATCTGCCTTGACCTGGGGCAGTGACTTTTCTTTGTTCAGGGCCCCACTCAAAACCTGCAGCATTGTGAGTCACTCAGTAAATGGGCCTGAGTTACCCACTTGAGTGAGGAATGTGCTGTCTGCAATATGCTAAAAGCCCCACCAGGCATTGTGCCTATTTTTTGTTTGTTGTTTGTTTGGTTTTTTTTTTTTTCTGGTACCGGGAATTGAACTCACGACCTTGCGCTTGCCAGGCAGGCTCTGTGCAGCTGAGCTAAATTCTCAGCCCCTTGTGCCTATTTTTTGGATGTAGAGAAAGCAAGACCAACAACTTGTCTTTTAGAAGGTATAGCTCTACATTCCCAAACCACTGGACTCACAGAAATTTCACTGCAATTGAAGGACCTCGAATTTTAGTGTGCTGTATTTCCCATCCTCTGGCTCTCAAATTCTTTACTGAAAACCCAGAGTTGTTACAACCTGCTGCTCACTTGGTCCACTCAGCAAAATATTATCAATATATTGCATCAGTGTGATGCCTTGTAGAAGAGAATGGTGATCAAGATACCGGAAAACTCGATGGTGACACAGGGCTGGGAGTTAATATAAACCTTAGGTGGTACAGTAAAAT